CCAAAAACTGTTCCTTTAATCCTAAAGAACCTGTTAAAAACAGAAAGCAAAGCAACCTAACAAAGTCATTGCTGCTGAAATGAATGTAAATACTCGTTATATGATATTTATATTGATATTCATTTTAGAATGTACTTATTTATATTTGCATGTTTTTTACACATCCTTAAGCTGCAGTTTTCACAGTGCGACCTGAATCTAACATAATGCATTAATTAATAACCATGATTTGATTATGTAGCGATGTGACATGCTATGGGTTATGACAGAATAAAATAAGGAAAAGCTACGAAGCGGAGCTCCAGTTGCTGGTCTAGGTAGCTCTGTGCTTCAATCCAAAACAGGAGACCTGGGTGAGAAAGTAAGCAGCTCTGTTGTCACAAGATCCTTGGGGTGTTGCTTCTCCAGCCAAAAACCTCTATGGCTGGTGGTGCCTTCCACCTGAGTATTTCTCACACCCACTGGGCTTCTTCTGCCCGCTTAGCCCAGTGGGCTATACTCAGCTCACACTACTGGTCCAGATCTCACACCTGCCAACAGCAAGCCAGGCGTGGAGTAGTGAGGGTATGTGGGTCGCTGCACACAGCCAGGCATGCTGGCAACATGAGTGAGCACCGGGTTTGGCCCCTGTGCATAGCCAGGTACACCCGCTGCTGTGGCAGCGCAGACAGCTCCAGGTGCCAGCACAGATACCAGCTCCATGTGAAGCTTCAGCTGGACCAGATGTACCACACACGGCTTCTGTTACAGGCACCCACATCTGGATGTGCAGAATGCAGTGGTGCCAAGAAGCTCGGAGACACCAGGAACCACAGAGCCTCAAAAAGAGTGCCATAGCCCTGGCTTGGGGAGCCCCTAAGTCTGGTCTCTGAAGAGCTGCAGCTCTTCTCTCCTTCTCGTTGCCCACAACGTGGAGAGCAGGGGAGGTATTTTTCAGTCCTGTTTGTGTTACAGCTCTTTCAGTCCCACCATTCACCAGGTCCCGAGTTCTTTTCCTGTGTCGAGAAAGAATAAGGTACACAGACAACTGTAAGTTGAGCAAAGTGGAGAGGAGCTGCACTGAGCAACAGAACAGCTCTCAGGAGACCCACAGTGGGTAGCTCCTTACCGTAAGCAGGGTGTCCCAAGGAGTATCCAGCTCTCAGCGCAGAGGTGACCCACAGTGGGTAGCTCCTCTCTGCAGCTGGTAGTCTGAATGTCTACTGGAGTCTGGCAGGATCCAGGGTTTTTATGATCTCAGAAGAGACGGAGTGCATGCTGATTGGTCTGTGGGTGGCCAAGGGCAGACCCAGAAAAAGCACTGTAAGTTCATGGACTATCTGAACTCATAGCCCCGCCTCCAGGTTTCAGATCATCCCTGGCTTGAAGGTGGGGCTTCACTGGGGACCTGCCCTTTTTTGCCCTGGAGCCCTGCCCTTTTTTGCCCTGGAGCCCATCTGCCTCCTACCACCATCAACATGTCATACATGGTGCCCAAGCTGTTCATGTTGAGGGGCGCCTGCAGGCCTACGCTGAGCCACCCTCCACACCCCCTCAGCCTCCCTCCTATGCTCATCTATGCACAAAGTTCAGAGGGGCCTGAGGTGGCGGGGGCGCTGGCTTTTCAGCACCACCCTGAATCCACATACACCCAGCTTGTGACAGCACCCGGGTTTGGCCACAACTTTGCTTCAAAACTGGAGTGGGTGCTGGAAGTGGGGAGAGACCAGGGAGCAGGAGGAGGCACTTCCGAGCCTGCAGGGGCAGCAGGCGGGGCTTCTGGGCTTCGAAGAGTGCAAGG